TGAAGTCTGTTCAGGACAGGGGTTCAAGGTCTTGGGTGATAGTGGCCTTTATAATTTTTCTAATTAAAAAGCCTAAATATAATAGAACTTAGCAAACTGTGAACTGTGGAATTTACAATGCCTCGAGTGGATAAATGTTAAGTATCCCTCAAAGGGAAGTATACACTTACTTTACTTTTACATATCTTCTAGCTGGTATATGTTGAAATCTTTGAGTCTATTGCATGTTGAATGCATGTGTAAAATCAGTCAATAGTAATATTGGAGCTATTTATGACTTTATTTCAGACAATCATGACTGTGATAAAGAGGGATTTTATTCCAAAACATCATACATATTTGAGCAACAACATTTGTCATTTGTTCTTGAAGGTTTTGTCCCATATTGATTCTATTTTGCAAAGCCCAAGAGCTCCTCCGTTAATATTCCGGCCCAGCAAAGGGCCAGTGCAAAAGGACAATAAAGAGAATGGACAGGGATGTGGATTTGAGCACCTTCCACTCACTGTAGAAATGTGGGCAGATCAGCTCATAGCCCTAAAGGTAACAACACATTGCTGTACTCTGTTTTTTGGTTTCCTTTCATCTGCTCTCCTCTCCTCCATGCCTCCCTATGTGTAGTTGTGGGGGGTTTTTGTGTGTAGCTTTTGTTATTTTCTGACCTGGTGTTAAATTTTACAAATAATCTGCTGTCCATGTGAAAAATATACCAGAGATACTTCTCTGTGTAAATCTTTTATTCCATTTCATTAACTGAGTCCCTGAGAGGAAACTTAAGCTTTAGAGTCTGGACTTCACACATTGATGATGGTGCATTCTCTTCCTTCCTTTTGTCTGACCAGTGACTTTTTGATCCAAATACAAGTGAAATAGTTTTGTTTAAGGCCAAACTCTTTGTGACCAATACTTCCTATTTCACTGAAACTATAACGCATAGCAAAATGTAATATTTTTCACTCTGTTCTTTTCAAATCAAAGAATGTCGGCAAGATACTATCCTTAAATTCATTAAAATTAAAACCTTAACCTCTCCAGTGCTGGAATGTTTTCTGCATATAAGAAACAGAAAAACATCTGTTTCTATACTAAAAACAACTTTAAGCAGTTTGCAAAATAAGTTGGCTCTCCTCCTTTCTTAAGGATTTGCATAGGTCCTTGAGAAAACTATCTCTGGAATTGCTGCCTTGGAACACTAAAGATCCACAGGATAACAGAGAATCCATACGAGTTGAAGACCTCCAGTTGATAGTAGATGCAATTTTGGAAGAATTAGAACATAGGGAAAAGGTAATTCTTACCAGAGATTTATAATCACAAGTTACTGTGGAGTTCTTAAATGCATTCTTCACACAGTAATTAGATTGGTGCATTTGAAAGCCTTGCAGCATTTAAGAAATACCTGTTTGAAGACATTCAGTAGTCAAAGACTCTTTTAACATAATGGATAAATTCACCTTGGGGAAGATTGCTTTAATCAAAGGCACTTGACCAGCAGTGAATTTGCATTGCCCTGTTCTGTCTCTGAGAATACATAAATGCTTCTCTTAGCAACAGAGAAGGAAGCTTTCAAAAGAGTATTTGGAGTTTGATGTATGCTTGTGCCTGAAAACTATTGAACTGTGTCTTCAGATTTAAAAATATTTGAAACATTGAGATTTTGTAAGGGAAGTTACACCTGTTCTTCAGACTGGTTTCAAGAATGTTTCACAGCTTAAAGTACTCTTGCCTTGTTAAGCAGTACCATTGATGAGTTCTTCCTGCTTGCTCCAGAACAGCCAGACACATTCCTTGCAAACCCTGTCTGCCATAGTGTCCCACTTCCAGAAGCTGTTTGATGTGAATTCTCTGAGTGGTGTTTATCCACGGATGAACGAGGTGTACACAAAGCTGGGGGAAATGACCAACGCCATGAGGAACCTCCAAGAGCTCCTGGAACTAGGTAAAGGCTGACCACCTGCTGCTTGTTCACACCATTCCAGAAAAAGGAGACAGGTGAAAAGCTGCCCTCTTCATAGAAAATAATGTTGAGCTGTTGAGAAATGAATGAACTAGGTGTTTCCTTCACTGGGAAGACAAAAACATGTTCCTGTCAGTTTATAGCTCAAATAGCAAATCCCCAGTATTTGCAAGCCTTTAGCAGTTGCTGAGGAATAACAGGGAGGCAGAAGACAAGAATAACAGGGGAAAAGAATTTTTTTTTTCCACAAAGTTTTTTTTTTGGTGAGCTGATTTCATAATTGTTGTTTATTCTTCACTTGAAAGATAACAAATTTAAGGAACAAAATAACTCTGTCTCAGAGGTAGATTTCTACTCAGTAATTCATTCAACTGTAATTGGGTCCAGTCCTCCAAAAGTTCCATCTTATGCTGCTAAACTTAAAAACCAAAACAAGTTGTTGAATGTCAAAAACTGTCAGTACTCAGAGGTTTAGTTGGTTATTTCCCTTCTGGTGGGAACTTCTGTAGAACAGCAGTTGCTGCTGCTCCTGGGTTAAAAGGTTGGGCTGGGCTCTAGGATGTCCAGCCCTGAGCCCCTGGGCTGCTGAGCCTCATTCAAGGAGGGAAGCATTGTTCCTGCCTGCAGGCAGCATGGCAGAGGAGGAAACCTCACCTCCCCCTCATATCTGCAGCTCAGAAGATGCCTTGCCCAAGCCTAGATCTTCTGAAATTCAAGGAGAAAAGGACAAAGAGGCTGCTACCTTCAGTCACAGCACTACAGACATGTTAAAATTCAATACCAAAACAAGTTCTGGGTGTTAACATAAAACATCCTCCTCCAAACATTTCCATGTTTGTTAAGCAGGTTCCTTATTGGCCTAGCCCCTACAGTGTGGCTGTTGTGTCACAAGAACCTAATTTAATAACCCCCCTCTCTCTATATATAATTTCAGTTGGCTGATTTCCAGTGACATTGTAAGGGTGCACTTTAGTACCCTCTCTGCTGTGAGCACACAGCTCTGCCAAAGTTTTTTTAGCCACTAAAGGATTAGTGAGAGAATCCCCATTCTTAGCTAGTATTTGTTTATTTCTGACCATTTGTTTATTTCTGTTTTCTGTGAATTATGGAGTGTATATGCTAGATCTGTGAAAACCAAATAAAATCTGTGCACCTGCAAAAATTCAGCTGTGTCTAAAATACTTACCTGTTATTACTGTCAAAAGAATCATGAGGTGTTTGTTTTTCCCCAGACAGTTCAGCTCCACCCACTGTGGTAGTGAATACTGTTGGGAAACTGTGTGACATCATAAATAAGAACGTGACTGAGCAGGTACAGCAGCTTCTGGGCATCCAAGACATCCACAGGTATGTGGGGCTGTTCCACTGCTGACCATTCTGCAAACATCAAATGTAGTAATTGAGAACTGGCAAAAACTGATGCTGAAAGAAACTTTCATCATTTGGTACAAAGTCAGTGAGCTGCCACAGCACAGGCGTTAGTTACTGCTGTCCTGCTTGAAACAAATCTTGTATTCTGTCAAAAAGATGAAGTTGACAGAGGGAAGAATTGAGGCCAGAAGGTTCCAAAATACTCTGGTTTGCATGGATAATGTGATCAAACAAGCCTTAATGGGATACATGTTTCATCAGGAGACAAATGTGGCACCTGGGTGGGGAGGAGAAAGTGATGCAAGTCTCGGATGTAATATTGTAGTGTTCTAGTTGCCAAGGCAGGGTTTGCCTCAAGCTGCCTACAGATACTTTAGAAACTGGACAAATCCAGTTCTACATTCAACAGGTAACAGCCACATCTGGGTGGCAGCAGACCCTGAGGGCTGGCATTCAGCATGTGCTTTACAGACAAACTAAAAAGGGAGCAGGCAGAAGTCTGACACATGCTGAGTTAACAATACTCACTCCCTCAGCCTTTCTGCACCCATTTCTCAGTTTTAACTGGAGAACAGCTGCTTATAAAGCATTTCTTGCTCTACCTCCAAGGCAGTTACACCAGCCACCCCCAGGCAGTATATTTAGCATACACAGACAAATGTTCCAGGCCCCAGACTACCTGGAGCCATGTGAGGGGGAAAGGAAGGATGTGTATACAGCATCAGTAGTGAAATCAGAGATCCTTGTGACAGCTCCCTTGTTGGCTGCAGATTCAGAACTGGAGAACAGAACATTGGTGTCCATGGTTTTATGTACTAAGTAGCAGTATTTTCACAAAGTCATGGCACAGAACAACAAAATGGCCAAAGGGACGAACTTGCCAGGTCCTTGCACCTCTTACCTGATTGTCTCACTTTCCATTCCAGTATCATCAATAAGCTTGAAGAACATGAGTGCTTCTTCCCACCCTTTCAAGCTCTCATTCAAGATCTGCTGTGTCTTCTAGGTGCGTAATATTTGCAACAATAATCTTCATGCCAACACTTCCTCATATAAGTCTAAACAGTTAACACGTGTTTTCTTTACTCCTGCTGTTCTAAAACGGAAGGAGGATATGAGGGAAGGTGCTGCCTTCGCCTCACTCTCCTTTCCACCTTTCCTCAGGAAGTGACCAAAACACTTTATTTTCATTTAACATGGGGTTGCATTTACTTAAGCATATTACTTACAAGCCTAATTGATTTTTTTCTGAAAGCATTAAAAGGCCTGAGGAGTTTACTTAATTCACCATCTGTTTAAGTTGGAATTTTGGTTGAACTCAATGTGTTCTGGGTTCATAAGCCTAACTCTTTTGCTTTCCATTCTGTTGCAGAGATCAGTAACGTGGATGATATTTTACCTGCAGTGCAAAACCTGAAATGGGGAGCTGGTTATGGCCGATTGTGCTCTTCCTGAGCAAGATTTCTGTTACCTGTGACTGTACCTGCTGGTGCTCCTGACATTGCAGCTACCTCCTAAGCAACAATTCCAATTTTTTTTTTTTACTTAAATAAAAATTACTGAGGTTTTAATTTTTTTTTTTAATTCTTGATCAATTTAAGAAAAACTTTAACTGCTGTCAACTGGTCTACTCAATTCCAGAGAGAGAACCAATATACTCTGTATCAGTCCAGGAAAATGAACCCAGCACAACATCCAGCACAAACTCCAACCACTTTTAATATTGCTGACCCAGTGAGGTATGTATGAGGTAAAGATGCCCTCACTGCCATAGCCAGCACACTTACACAAATGCTCAATCTTGGTTTTCTTGAGAGCCTATTTTAAAATGTGGTTCACATTTCCAGATCAGTTTGGGATGGGAACATTGTTACTCAGTGAGTATTCTCTCAGATTATGGACTGAGGCAGACTGGGTTAATGTAATCTAGGCCAAAAATCTTTGGAATTTGCTTCAGGTGATGGTTTGAACTTACCATTGTTGTATTCCAAAAGTCAGTTTTAGAAAGGATTAGATCAAGTCTCTTATGCAAGACAATTAAAAGTTTATTGTACAGAAACAAGTACACCAAGCTTCCAAAAATATTTTGCCTCAATATTATTAAAGCTTAGTTTACAAAACTTTGCTGTTCCTCAGACAGAATCTGGGTTTACAAGATTTTGAAATGTACTGTAACAAAGGACAAAACCAGTTAAGGTGTCACAAACTAAAACCTTAATGACATCTTGGTGAGTTCATCTCCCTGCTTTGGAAGCTCATTATTTACATACCTGCAGCCACAGTCAGCTAAGGTACTTTTGAACAGTGGACTACCAACTTTAGTTTCTCAAAAAAAATAGCTGTTAAAGAGTTTCTCTTTTAAAAGGTTCTCTAGCCCTACAGCTGAAGAATACTGTTTCAAAATGTATTCTTTTAAAAGTACACCACTGCCATGTTAAATAACATGAACAAGTTCCTAGGGCCATCAGACTGCCAAGCAAAGTAATGACACTTGGCTGACAGTCCAAAATCTCCCCAGGTACAACCCTTCTTTAAGAGAGGTTTCACACTTAAAGGTCCTTTGAGGAGGGATTTGCCAGAAATAGCAAAAATAAAGGACTTATTCTTTAAAGACAAATTATTCCCTATGTGGGGGAAAATATGTTTAACTTCAGTGAGAACTAATCCCTGAATAGGATCATTAAATTTGCATGTCCTGAGCTGGAGCCTGCTTCAAATTTGCAATGACTGTGCAAAACAAGTTAATTACAAGAGATATGTACATCCATAGGAAGTTGAAAAAGTAGTAATTTATGTACATGAGAAGAAATCAGATTTTCTTGCGTCTGCTCCTTGTCAGCTCATACCTGCAAGACAGACACAATAAGTAATTACCATAGTTGAAAATCTTAACAGTTATAACTGGCACAGTAGAGAAAACTTGGGCTGCTTTCTTGCTTCTGCTTCACAGGCAGCACAGCAAAGGAGGCTCCAGAGATGGCCTCAAACTTCAGCTCTTCACCAGGAACTTTGGGTGCATCCTTTTTTCCTCTTCCCATAATTGCCCTGAGACTCACACACAAGCTGGCCAGGGAAATGTGGTTTTCCTATTGGAATATTGGCTCACTGCCTGTGCAGATGGCAAGCTCCTGGACTACCCACACTACATTCCTCAGGCTCCACTGAAGGAGAAAGAAGGAACAACTCCTGCCATTTACTCAAGACACAGGAGTGAAAAAAACACCCAAGCCTGGTTCTCTGTTCTGCCTCAGACCAGGAACATACAAGCCCCAGAACCACAATGAACGCACAAGCAAAACTCTAAGTGGCTTATTATAATAGTTTCTATAAATGCTTTGTAATTAAAGTTTTATCATACATATATATTGCTGATCAGAGTATTTAGTTAAGATCTTTACTCAAGTTAAAATTTGTTGTCAGGTTACTTTAATAAACAAAATTCTTTTACTTATGTGCCCCTGTGGCTTTTATGGCAACTTAAAATATGCTGAAGACTGTAATTGACACAGGCATCTCATTAAAGCTGTCTCACAGGGCAGGCACTGCACAGCCAGTGGATTAACACACAATTTAGATAGAACTGCCAGATTAGCTCAAGTTAGTCCTGCCTTTGCAGGTCAGATATTCTTGCTCACCCAAATACAGCCCAGTTACCAGCACTCACTCCCACAGCAATCATGCAAGCTCCCAGCCAAGCAATGTTTGGAAGGATGGAGATGAGTACTCACCACTGGGCAAAGCCTTTTATTAAATCCTCCCGGGACAAGTCAATGCGCACCTTTAAAAAGCAAATTTTATTTGTTTGTAGGTTATTCGGCATATAAATTGATTAGCTAAGCTACCATTCCTCCCAAGTCAGACCCACTTTCCAGCTCAGGCTTGAGGAAAAATGGAGCTTCCCACATTCCCAGGGTAGTGTAGGCATGAACCAGCTCCATTTCCTGTAGCACTGCTTGGAAATTTATCTGTCACTGAAGAAGCAATTGCAGTTTACTTCTCACAGAATCAAAGCTGTTCACAGAAAGTCAAAGCAGTGTTGGCAAATTGTGGGGTTTAACCCCAATGCCTTTTTCAGCTCTGTGTTTGCACTCTTGGAGCCATTCCCCACACAGGCAGCACCAGGGCCTACGAACCAGGGCTTACTTCAGGAGCTCCCTTCTGAAATGTGACCACACAGCTCCCACATGGATACAGCCTCATTTGAGATGAAAATCTAGCAGAAAAAAAAATTGTTTCCAGATTACCAGTCCTATCACTGAGAATCAGTTACTGGAGCCACATTTGAGGATTTCAGGAATAGCCCAGATTGTTCAGCTCTGTTATATCTGTAGTGAGATTCTTTAAACTTACTTTCCCCAGCTCCTTCCTCTCCTGTGAAATGAATGGCCTGCTGTTTTTCACTGCAATGTCCAGTGTCCTTTTCTTGACATTTTCCAAAGATTCAAAAAATTCAAACCTTGAAATAAAGTTTAAAAAGAAGAGATTTAAGGCAAAAACTAAAACCCTGTGAGCACCAGTGGGCAGAATGTAGTGACAGTACAGCGTCAGTGGCCAGGACTTAAACAGGGAAGGAACACACAGAAAAGGCAATTCTAGAGTGAGGTTTTATTCAGATTGCAGGGAACCTTTTCCAGGCCTCATGAAAGATAACACTGTGTTCAGACTCTCCACCGTGCCAGGGGGAAGGAGGAAAACATGCACCCATGATAAAATGTCATTTAACATTATTTTCCCCCCTCCATGGAAGATGAGCATGTTTTCCATGCAATGTTCATTACTCAAGAGGAAATAGTCATGAGCCAACCCCCAAGTTCACAGAGCAGCCTTGCACCACACCAAGAACAGACAAAGGCTGAAACCTGTGGCAATTAAATTCTTAATGGCTCTGACTCAAGCCTCTGGCACACATGGCTAATGTCAAGTGAGTTTTGTCCATGCCAAATCACTCCAGTTCTGCCCACCTGAATAGCTTTTCCTCCAGTCAGAGCTGTGAAACAGGTAAGGAGCTAAAAGCATTATCTTTAATTGAGGATGTACAGGATACGTCAGTACTGAAGATGGGGAAAAGGAGATGCTCTTTCCAGCTGCTGGGATGGCACTAAATCAGTGCAGTTTCTTAACAGATATAGGCAGAATCCTCAGCTTTGGTGTTTTGAATGTTAAGAAGGAATGTTTTAAAATCTTTTCTCCATTTCTGACTTACACAGAAAGGACATAACACAGGAAAAATATAAGCCACCCAGGATCAACCAATATTCACATATATCCATGTGCACCTTCCTCTAATTATGGGATCAAAACCACCTCTCAAAAGAGCTCTGCTTCTAAGTGTTACTGTGTTTGGGTTTATGCAAAACACATTCCATTTCAGTGGGCACAGCTGTAACTTTACTGCCAGCAAAGAGGTGGCAGCATTTTATCCTGCTCCCACCAGGCCTTGATGACAACATCCACCTGTGTGCCCAAAGGGTGCTCCAGCCTCAGAAGGCTCTGTACTTCTGCCTGGACCTTTGGAAAGATGGCAGAATAAGCATCAGGCAAAGCAGTGTGAACAGAGCAGTAGGCTCTAGGAGGTTCCTGAATGGGCAGGTTGTCTCTGCCATGACAGGGAGTTAAACCAGCATGAGAATGTCAGTTTGCAGAGAAGCAAATGCAGCATGGGGGCAGAGAAGGGACAGGAAAGAAGGTGTGCCCTTCTTCTGGGGAATTTGCAATGCCACAGGCAGAGCAAGGCCAGCCCCAAGTACTTCTAAGTGACAGTCCAAGTGTCATTTGTTTCAGAAAAGCTGGAAACATTCACAAGAGAGTCCCTAGGAGCTACACCAGCCCTGTCATTACACAGAGATCATAACTATTCCAACCATAATAATAATTTACATTTTCTTACTTCTCATCGTATTGGGGGTTCAGAGTTTTTTTCTTAACAGAAGTCTTCTTCCTGCTTGTCCATCTTCTGTCTGGCAGCAGGTATATCCGGACATATGGATCCACTCCACGATTGGAAGAGGGTACCAAGTTTCTGTTAAAAGAAAAACAGACAATCAAGGCAGGTTCTCTCACTGTGTGTTTTAATACCTGGGCTCTCCTGGCATCAGACCAACCCTTCACAGGCCAAAAACATTCATCTCAGGAGCTGGAACATAAGCAAAGAAAACTTTATGGTTGTTTAGTTAAAATGCTTACTCCTGAGGGTGTGGCCACTTACTGGGGTTCCTAAATTAACAATTACATACTCAGTCATAGGTATCAATCCTTGTCACAATGCCTATCCCAACACCCCAAGACACACACCAGTTGTCAGTGCTGCCCAGAGGGAATTTTGGGTGGATGACAGTGGAAGCATCTCTACAGCAGCGAGCACAACTCGCTGGGTTCCCTCCCTGACCTGCTGCTGGCACTGACCAGAGCTGGGCACAGAGAGGCTGCACAGCTGGAAGCCAGCCAGCACTAAGGCATCTCCTGCTGCACATGGCTCTGCTCCAGCTTTGCTGGATGACTGGCAGAGCTCAGAGAGCTCTTCCCTCTGTGGGCCATCACAGGCATTACCTGCAGCCGTTGACCAGCACAACGAGGCTCTGCCGGATGGAGGCGTAGCGCACGGTCAGCTGGATCTCCCCCAGAGGCATCTCAGTCCCACTGCAAGACATTGCACAGGCAGGGCTTTTAATACAGCCACTGAGCAGCCCACAGGCAGACTAAAACCAGCTTTCAGGGCACCATCCTTCTTCCTGGCACCCTAAGTTTGCTGTCAGAAGCCCCATCCCTGCCTTCTCTGCAGGTACCCAATTTCAGTCCCACAACACAAACTGCCAAAAATGCCCCTATGTGGCCATTGTAGATGGAGCAGCAAAGTACAGGTTAGGGTGTCACACACTCCCTCAGGAATGTCTGTATATGCAAAATGGGACCTTTTTCATACTCCATTCTGCATGTTATTAAAATGGCTCAAAATCCAAAACATTGCTTAAAAATGGTTTGAAATAGCTTATAAATTAAGCTCTGTTCAGAGCTAGAAAATTCACCAGTCACCAAATTGCAGCTGAAGTTGAGTTTTATGTTCAGGTTTATAACTACCCTGATGCTCTCTTAAATGAGGTGGATCTTTGTAACTTCTGTTGATTAAGGATTCCACAAGCTCCATTCTGTGCCCCAGGAGGAACAAATCCTTCTCTCCATCCTGTCTGACTGAGCAGCCTCACAGTGAGCACTGTGAGAAGGCCACACACAAACACAGCTCTCCACAAAAAACTTTGTTCACTGCATTATCAGTCTTAAAACGTGTTGGATAAACACATTCAGAGCTTTAAGCAGTCAGAGGTGCCTATCAAGAGTTTAAGTTATTACAGAAGTGGGATATTGAGACTTCAAAATCCTGTTGCTAAATGAGTGTTGAGAAGCTCTTCAACAATATTAAACCAACACATGCAGCACTCTTAGGAGAGCCATAGAGTGAATACTTTCCCTTTATACCTGCTCTGACAGTGCCCTGTAATTTACTTTGCTGTTGACTGGAGTACCTAGGTCATTTCATTGTAAGGTGACTTGAGACCCAACACCCCAAAAGATTTAGTAGCCTTGAATTCACCTCTATGCAACAGTAACACCTAAACTTTCCCAAGAGAAGAACAACTGAGCTGGAACAACACCTACTTATGAATGTCCAGGTTGCTGCTACTTAATTCAAAGCAGGAAGAAGGCAGGGACCCCAGTGAAGTGACACTGGGTGCCACCCTCATTTCCTGCAGGACAGGCAGTGTGGGCACGGCCACTGCTCCGCTGGGCAATGCTGATGGTGGGCCATGCTCTGGGTTTTGCTTCCCCTCTGCTTCATCAAGGCCAGACACAGTTTCACTTGGTACAGGGGCTCCTGAACTGTCTTTAGCGCCCAGGTCTTCACCACTACTGTCCTTTTTTGGCAGAGAGTCAAGTGCTGCAGAGTCTTTGCTCATGGGAGGTACTTTTGAGACTTGTGGAGAGGAAAACTTCTGCTGGTTTCCAGCCTTCTCCATGACATGCACAGGACCTAGCTTCGAGGCACTGACACCAGCCTTGACTCTTTGTGGATCAGGTTCTTCAACATCCAGTGCCTAAAAATCACAAGGGAAGACAGTGAGTGCTGCTCCCACAGCACTGGGGTGAATGCCAGCATTACCACCCAGAAGGAAATTTCACCACAAAACTGTAACAGCAGAACTCTGCCATTAGACATGAAAGGGGCCCCTGGGATTCACTGTGGTGTTCTCTCCTCTTATCCTACTGTGTTTGTACTGAGCACTGATCCAGAGCACAGTGAGGAAACAACTCCTAAGCATCAGTGCTGATTTCCCCAGCTTAAATATTCTCAGTCCAACTCTTTATTGCTGTGAGAAAACTTTCAGCCATGATACTGCACTAAGTTTTATGAAGCCCCAGGGATACCTCTCAACTCCACCATACACTTCTAATTTCACTTAAATACCTTATCACATTTCTGCTTTCTACTCAGCTGTGAAGCAAAGCTGCCTTTCTTCATGGCCACCTTTCATCTCTTTTGCCTGGTTACAAATGGATACTTCTGCAGGGGAAACTGAGTGAATATGAGAAAGAACAACTCACCCGCAGTACAAGTTTCATCTTAATGAAGCTGTCTGAACTGGAATGGTCCAGCTGGAATCTCTGATCCAGAGTCATGCTTGGGTCCTTAAGTAAGTGGGAGAGACACACCACTGAAGTTCCCAGGGCACTATCCCGCTCCTTGTCCTTTATCTGGGGGATGGAAGAAAACAAAAGTTTTTATCAACTGGCAAACTGGGAATGCAAAAGCAAAGCAAGAAGGTATTTCAGACAGAAACCAAAATTAGCTTATTTGCTTCAGTATGGTTACATCCAAATGGGTGATGCCAGGAGTGTAACAAGTTAGTGCATTTGGTGTAAAAATCCCATCTCTAACTATGCAGAGAAAGAAGTGCTTTAACAGAAAAAACATGCCCTGAGATTCACTTGATTTTCCTTGCTCGATTTGGGCACAATGTTCTAAGCAGCTGAGATGGTAACTTGTCTAAATCTTTACATGTATTTTAGGTTAACAGTTTGTTTAGCCTATTTAACCTCAATACACCTTCCAAGTTCAATTCCTTTCTGTATCCAAGTGACCAGCCACAGAACTGCAATGCTGCTAATGAGAGACAGGGCTGCCTAATGAGCCAGAACACAGAGGTGAAGAGGTAGGGCTCTGGCTGAGAATCATGAAGGCTGCAATTTCTGACAGCAAAATATTGATGTCTTTACTACACACAGACCTGTATGAAATGTCTTTTGCACTTTGCAGCCAGAAACATCCAACATTTTGGACTAAGATACTGCACATTACATGATGCTACAACAAAGGTAGATACCACCACCACCTAATACAGAATTGTCTGTGAAACTTGTGCTTCTTCCACCCTTTAGTTGGAGGAACCCAGTATATGACAATCCCACACAGAAACAACCAGCACTGGGCTCCATAGAAGAGGTTTCTTCCTACAGATGTGCAGCTGGTCTTCAAAGGAAAGGCTTTTCTCTCACCTCAATGTGGAGTGATTGGGAACGAGCACTGTGGACAAAGAAGGTGAAAGCCTGGCCCCAGGTGGGATCTTTGCTGAAATTGCAGGTCTGCAACAAGAACATACATTAGTTTAGTCTCTGAGAAGCAAAGAATCCATGACACTGATCACCAGAGAGGGCCATGGTGGCCCTCAGTGATGCTACACCCCAGCTGTATAGAGAGAGTGGAAATTCCAGGTCAGAAGCATATGGAAGTGAAGTCTCTGGCAAAACCAGAACAAGTTCTTTGGGGCGTAGAAATGCCAAAGAACAAGTCTGGTGAGCTGCAGTTGGCCCCACCAGCACTGCCTGGACCAGCAGCCTGCCTCCCCTGCAGCGAGGCACCGCTCCCTCCCTCCCTCCCTCCTTCCCACCTTCCCACCCAGGGAGAGCCAGAGCACTGCTTCCAGCCTGCAGCACTCTGAGCCAGCTCCCAAAGCTGCAGTGAGCTGCAGGCAAGGGCAGGAAAGCTGGAGGGGCAGTTTCAGGGGCGTAGAACTCGTGGGAAGAGTAGGAGGGCACAGCTTCAGCACCATCCACTTCAAAGAGGAAAGAGCATGGAAAGCACCCAAGGGGACAGTGGCTGCTCTGTGAACCAGCTGTCCCTGCCAGGCCATGAGTGCAGGCAGCAAGTGGAAAGGAGCAGGGAAAGCCTGGAGGCCTGACCTAGCTTAGGAGAGGCAGCTGATGTGGTAAGGAAAAGCCACAAAAGGTAAAAATGCAAGTAGAACCCAATTTCTGGGTGGAGCAGGTGGAAAGAACAAAGGAAAATAGGTGCCAGTCCTGTATGCTTGTGTATAGCCAACAGGATTCATTCTTATTGGCTGGAAGTCCAAAAGAACAAAGAGCTCATCCACATCCAGCTGCACATGGCAGCTACTGGGAGGGCAGAGCTCAGCTGTTGCTCGTACTCATGATGCAAAAGTAATTTTTAAATAATGAAAAAGGAACTAGAAGTGAAGTAGAGGAGATGCAGTTTAAAAACAAAACCAAACACAAAACAAAACAGTAAAACTGTGATACACAGGAGCCAGAAAAGACTCTGAGGAAGCAATAAAAGCCAGCTTGATGCAAATGATACCCTGCTCTGACAAGCCATAAGCTGGATTGGAGACTTACAGAACTAGAGTGTCTGGGCCAAGATGAACTCTTGGGCACAGGCATGGAACTACACATGTGTACAGCAGCTGGTCAGACTCCCTCCACCACCACAATTCAATGACACAGTGGTTCCACTCCCAGGCTCTGCAGCCATCACTACAAGTACAGCTCTTCACACCAGCTTCACAAGAAGTCCTTTCCTTCCTAGGGGATACTTGGGGACAGTCACCCATAAGATGGAAAGTATCTGATGAAAGCAGAACAATTAAACAACCTCACCTTACTCTTCTGAGTCTTGTTCCCAACTGTGAGCAGAACAAAGGAGGAAGGTTCTCGTTCCATCTTCTGTCATTTAATACAAGGAAGAAAGAAGAAGGCAGAAAGAAACATTAAGAAGTTTATAGTTTTCAGGAAGCAATATAAAACCACTATTCTTACTTGAAGTAAGTTGCTGGAAAGCTGATAGCATTTTCTGCTTGTGGGACCCCTGAGGAGTGTAGTGCACAGGAAAGCCTCCAGCAACAACACAGCAGACTTACTTTCCACCATCAAGAGTACACATTTAAGCCAAAGCTTTATGTATTTAGGTTTCAACAGGTGAGCAGTTAAAAATTTGCCAGAAGCTGGGAGGAAACAGAGAGGAGAGATGAAGGCTCAGTGGGGAATCTTGGGCTTTCCTGACTGAATCAGGACTCTCAGAATTGGTTTCCAAGGCTCAGGACTTGCTCCAAAGCAGCTGGAAGTGAGTCCTTGGCATCAAATAACAATTCTTGTCTGGAAGCAACAATACTGAACCTCTTGCAGCTCTTTGCACTAGACTTTCACTGGGGTGGGCTTTCAATCACTAATTTGAACCCCTGTTCATCACTTAAATTCTGATAGTGGAGAGATTATTTCTTTTTAACCACAGCTAGTTTTGGTTCCTATGATACCACATAATTCAGAATCTTGTTTTGCAAAGTGGGAGAAGAATATAAATTTTACCTTGAGGTACTTGTTATTTTTGATCTTCTTTGTTCCACATTCACCGTTCGAATACTCAAAGTGGTTTTTCTGAATTGGTGAAAGAATATTTAAAACAGTTAATTTGTTCTTTTCAAAAAAAGGAGGTTAGGAGTGAAGGCTGCTGCATGGGTTTGTACTTACAGGGAGGTTGAAGGCACTGTCCAAGTAGACAATCAGAATTGCTGTAGACAGACCCTTCTTATCCTGTAAAGGCAGGGAAAGATAAAACAAATCAAAACACAAAGTAGTCATGGATCACCCACCAAGGACAATACAAAACACAGCAAAATTCCAAGGGCAGCCTCTGAAGGCTAAGCAGCTCTCTGCCTTTCTCTAAAACTTGCAATTTAGAGGAGCTCAAGTCAACACAGCATGACAGTTCAAAGCAGACCAGTAAGATGTGTAACTCTTTTCAATTCCCTGCCTTTAATGTTTGTCAATCTCTCAGTGCAGAACTGCTTGGGTTCCCCAGTGCAGCAAGACACCTAAAAACATGTTCAACCACATACATCAACATGAATCCAGTGTCAGCAGAACAAATCCTGGGAACAATTTTATTCACTTCAGTGGAATTCAAATGGTTTTGCTTGGTTATGAAGAAACAGCCTCTTTGGGAGATGGGCTTTAACCAAGCAATTCTGCTGGACAAACAACACACCATTTGGAAACACAGCCCTACCAAGCACCAGTGCTGGGTATTTGCCTATGACTAGTACAGATTATTTCAGGGATCCAGGTTCCTACACAAATCCTAGATGAAGAGGGAGGAAAAACATTGTGAAAGAAAAAGAACCCCTGAAAAGCCACTTTGCAGTGAGTCGAACAAAGGTTTGTTAACTCAAGCAAAAAGAGCTGCCAGATTTGAGTTACTCCTGAATTACCAAGAGACCTGGGGCAAGCAAATGCCCTTCCTCTGCAGGAATGGCAGGGAGGGAATCACATTAAAACTTCGCCAGACAAAAATAAACTCCTGTGATTCTGCCTGGGGTTTCTAATTTTACACACTCCTTTGTTGATGACTGGACAGGGATCAGAGCACCTGAATCCTTTAAGCAAATACACTCACCTCATGCAGCTTTTCTTGGTCGTTTACCAGTGAAAGCCACTCCAGTTTCAAATGCAAGTGTCCGCTTGTTGTCTTACTCAAGGGAAACCACTACATGGAGATAACAAAGAGCAGCTTGAGACTGAGAGGCAGAGTAGCTTTTATGTATGTGATGCAGACTCTGAGACTTGCACACAACAGACAATGTGAATTTTACTCTGAGAACCTTAGCTTGCATTTTTGACACTTAGATTGTAGCATGTTCACCTACTTAGGTACAAGGCAGAAGAAAATTAAAATAAGATGCCCATGAACAGGCAAAGCATGTGGGTGGATATTTCCAACCAGCAGCAGCACAAGACAGGCACCCTGGCATTGTTTGTAGAGTGCTGGGTTGCAGGATGAACCACAGCAATGTCAGATCGTTTCTTCCCTCAGCAAACAGGCTGCTTCACCAAACTTTATCTGCAGCTTTGTACAAAACATTTGGTACACACAAGACTCAAAGTATCAACAAGATACCCCACTGCTGGCTCAGCATAACCTCAGGCCTCTCTGGGGTTACCAACCTGGTCATAAAAATTATTGTAGTGGCTACTTTGGTATTGTTTTTTTGTGAAAATACCACAGTGCAAGTGTGCAAAGAAGTTTAAAGTACAAAGAAACACCGTAGTAGCAAAAGAGCAACACAAATGAGTGCATGTAGCTGCACCACCAGCCACATTTAGAAATAAGCTGAGATCTTTACCTCATCAACAGTTCTGTCATTCATTACATCCACTAGGCTTATCAGCAAGCTGAAAGGAAAAAAGCAAACACTTCAATGTACATTGAGGCATACAGCAAAATCCACCAAAAAAGCCCACTGTCAAGTCTATTCCAAATAACAACTTCTCCACATTACCTGAGTATGTGCAGGAACACACTTACACTCCTGAAGTCTCCCCCTTGAAATATTTCCAAAACTAAAATGAATATGAAGTAAATCTCAAGAAACTATTACTTCTAATGGCTTCCCAGGGTTCTCTGCAGGATGTAACCTTGTCCAACATTAGTTGCACTAGGAACTAATTATGTGGCATTAATATGTGGGCAAAAGGAATCTCTTCCAACAGTATGAAATTTCCAGTATGAGTAATTCAGGTGTCCCACAGCAGAGGCTACTGGACCCTGATCAAAGGTCTTGCTAATTTACCTGCCCATAAAGTCATCTTTATCTGGATCTTCATCATACAAATCCACTTCTAAGTCCTGACCAGGCACTTCATGAACAACAAACTGGAGGAAAAAGAGGTATTGATTAAAAATAAAAAGCATTCACATACACATATTCAGGCTCAGGCTGTGGACAAGAACAGGACACTTGACAACTGTCTAACACATTAAGGTAATTCCCTGTTCTTTCTTATGGTCAAATGCATAACAAATACAATTGATTATAGGTGAAAATGCTTCACATTGTTTGCTTGTTTTTGAGCTACAAGTTAAACCCCTCAAACTGGTATCCCTAATAAGCAGAGAGGAATTAATGCTAGAGCAGCCTGCAGCTGCACAGGCTGATGCATTGATTGGTATTTAAAGCAGTGCTTTGCACCTCCTCCAAAAACCCACACATGTAAATCAGATCAACCTGAAGGACATTTCAAGTTTACAATGTAAATTTGAACTTGGTTAAGGGACACAAATGCCTCAACCAAGAAACAAGGAAGTCCACTTGCCCTGTGCAGTCAGCTAAGAGAAGGTCCTGCAAGCACAGGGATGCAAATGGCTGTGTATCCCCCAGATGGAAAGATCAAAAGGCTCAGTACCTCAAATGTCTCATTCCAAATGGGATTAAGATCCCTGGAGACTGTCTTGCTTCGATACTGCACGGTGCCAACGCGGAGGAGAGCGTACGGATCAGACTTCCCCCTGATGGCACCAAGGAAATTGTCTTTCTGGACAAGGTTTTCAGCTTCTAACAGATGAACCCTTATTACTCCCTGCATAAAATAAGATACAGAATTGGTCATGAAAATGCAATCTTTGGATAATTATAATATGCTGCCTCCTAAAATTGTTTATTTCAGGCAGCAAGGGTAGTCACCATGACAGTTCTGCAAAGACATTTAGTTTGATGCAGTGCTTTCCAATGACAGCTGTAATAAAGCACTTCTTCCACCATTTGCCTAGAGGGGGAAAAAAGCCCCCTTAAAGAGATGCAAAATTCAATCTAATAACTGTATAGGAAATATTTATTTTTAAATCAGAAATATACATATGCACACAGCATTACAGCCACAGTCAAATCAAGTGTAAAGATCAACTCCCACTGACTGAAGGAGGAACTAAGCACTCACTGGCAGGTTCTTATTTTATTGCACAGGAGCCATTCCACTTCAAATTAGTGATGCAAGTTTGCAACAGAGAGCATGCCTTTGTCACTCATTTATATTTATCCTCATTAGTATTAAGTATTTGATGGATGAAGGAGATTGAAGACCTGGATATGCTGAGAATTTAGGAAATTTTTTTTGTAAAAATATGTGATCTTCCAAGTTCCCTATTTACAACTCTTCATAGCATTAGTAAAAATATCAAATAGCATGACACTGCTTATGTATTTTTCCTCTCATTTGCATGTACCACAGATCTGCAGTTACAGAGTAAAGGTTTAATTGGTAAATGAGCTCAGAGTACAAACAGACTCCTTATGACTTGTAGAGAAAGTAGGAACTTCCAGTGCCTGTGTCACTCCCTCCCAAATTATTATCCAACACTGCTTTTATATTTCTGAAATACTACCTACTGAAAGCCCACAACTCAGGCTGAAAGAGCTGATGCAGCATCCAAAGACACTAAGCTTGGATGCATCACTCAGGTAGATAAACACTATGTCACTGAAAAAAACAACTCACCTGGGGGACAGGGAACCTCAAATGGGCAATGTTCATGTTTTTTTTCAGAGGCACTGTGACTCTGTTGGGCAGAACCAGCCGTGCAGCAATGAAGTCTTGAATTAATGAGTCTGACATTACACTGCAGGTGGGGGAAAAAGGCAACAATCTGTCACAACTCAGGAGGGAAAGTGAGGGACAGCAGAAAGAATGAGCATTGCAAAGTGACTGGTGTGGCCTAGCTTCCCCCAAAGTATTGCCAAGAATTAGAACAGGACAACCAGGGAAATGGTTGGGTCACCATCTCTGGAAGCATTTAAAAGACCTGTAAAAGTGCTTAGGTACATAGTTCAGTGATGGGCTTGGCAGTATTAGGTTAATGGTTGGACTTGGTGATCTATAAAGATCTTTTCCAAAGTTTATGATTGCATGAAAGAGCTGCAGATTGGCCATTCATCTCCAATTTAGTGCTGCAGACTTGCAACAGGAGCATCCCTGTTGCAGGGTGTGAATTTGGCTCACCGTTGTAAATGATGAATGGGAGCTCAGGCTGTGTGAAAACTTCATGCACACATCCAAACATGTCAAACTCAAGTGTCTTCTGGGTTTCCTTAGGAATAACACCAGAGATGGACATGGGGAGAAGGGAATCAGGAGGTTCCAGCGTTTCACAAGGGGCTCAAGGCCTCAAGCTAGTTTGTTTCTAGACAGAAATGGCCACAGCACACACTGCTGCCTACTCTTGGCCACCTGCTGAGACCTTTTGACAAAATTCAAGCAGACAGACACATTAAAAAAAATAGCCAAGCTCGTTTCTCAGATGAAGTTCTGGATCTTGGCAGAATTTGCACTAAGAAGGAAAATTTCTTTTGAAGTAACTGGAGATCACATTGGCTGAATTGAGGGCACTATCTTGGAGTTCAAGGCACTTTGCAGCCTAATTACAACTTGCACAGTTGCAGTTTAAATCTTTGCTTTACAACTGCTCTTCTTGTGCAGCAGGTACAAGAAGTATATGGCTATCAGAGATGTCCGAGTACTCTCCAGGTGATGAATGAGAGGGTTTCAACACACCACTACAACCTGGCATAAGCAAAAAACAATATTAAGAGGAAAACCCAGGAGCACCAATTATCTGAAAGACTCATCCTCTTGATAGATCTAGTGCCTATAAGGGTATGACTGTGTAACAAAATTATCCCAATTCACAGAGGAGGCTGGACTCACACATAAAGAACATAAGAAAAGTCTTCTACTCCAAATGGTAAACCAGAAGCCTTGGTCAGGCTCTTGGCTTTCCTGTAAAAAAAACCCACAGGAATGTCACAGAATTGTCCCCTCTTCCAAGTCTCAGGGTACACCCAACTAAACACAGCTTGTATGTGAGGACAGATGACTGCATCCAGTTTCTTTGCTATCTTAAGTGAGCCAAATTCATTTGACAGGGAGGGCTCTGGTTCAACCTGTACTTCAGCCCATTCATGGTCAGGCATGTTTTGCTCCCAGCTTTCATTGCACAGCTGAGGAACAAGCAAAGGTTTCTGTGTGCAAATCCCTGTGGGAGAACCAGGCAGTAAAAATTTAGGACACCAAATTTGCACTTAATTATATGAGAGGCTGTAGGCTGGAACACCTACAGGCCTTCTCCCTGCAAGGATTAGGGAAAGCAAGTTAGAAAAAAACAGATTAATTCCTCTGATAAAAACTGGAGCTCTCAGGCTAAACTCCAGGGCAAAAGGCCACTGAGGCCTCAAATTAAGAGAAAAAGGAAACTTCCTCTCATGCAACATCAAAAGCCTTCAGGGAATCTTTAATGCATAAACTGGCACCTAAAGTGGCCAGACTCTTCCTGAGTCTGCAAACCATGAGCTGCAGGGGAGTAGAGAGGAACAGATACTTCTGAAAGGGACTGTGTAACCCCATGTATTTTCTTCTTGTGCAACAGAATTTTCTCCTTACACTAAAGAACAAACTGAATCCCTAATCTGGTGAAGCAGTTTGTAACAACACTGAAACTCACTAAGATTTTCATCCTTGCTGTGCAAGTTTTATGTATGTACTACTAACCCAAGAGGCACTGGAGAAGAGCTGCACCTAAAAAGTGAGCAGATTACATAGAAAGAAAACTTTTCTCCTTATAAATCTGGTGCAGTTCTCTTTATCATGGATTGTACTTGAGTTTTTCAGAGGAACTGCAACTCTGTGATAACTTGCCTTTTTAAATTTACTTCACTGTAAATTTAAAAAAGCAGTCTGCCAGACTAAACCTACTTCATCTACCTTTGCAAATAACTTGCACATGGGAAACAGAAGGGCTTGTTTTTAGTTTTTAAGTCATTGTTGTTTGGGGGATTTACTATTCCCATCCTAAATGTAATGAAGTGATTGAAACAGTTTTGCCAGAATGTAAAAAGGACCCTTCCCAGGTTTTGCCACAGCCAGCTGCAATGGGATGAACATCAGCACAACACCTTACACACAAAGCTTTGGTTCAACAAGAACTACAACAACAGCTTTGGTTCAACAAGAACTACATCCCAACTTCCAAAAATTTTTCAAAGAATAAAGTAAAGCAAAGTAGACACTCACTTAATTCCTGGGACATCCAGAAGGTTGCTCATGCCTGCCCAGTTGATTTCCAAATGCTACAACAAGATTGGGGAGAAAATATTATACAGGACTATTAAAATTTATTTTAAAATAAGTGTAGAATTTAAAAGGGAAATGCTTCTAGAACAAAGTCAGATGTCTAAAGGAAGGAAAACCTGCACCACCAATTGCATCTGTACATTAGAATCAACAGCTGGAATCAATTCCCTTATCTATTTTATTTGCTACCCTGAATTGAGATTATCACTGGAATTGAACTTGCAAGAAGAAGGAAAGTCAGCATTCAGCCCTTAGCAATGGCCACTGGCAGATACCCTGGGGTCATAAAGGAAATTCAGCAACTCTTTTAAGACTTTGAAGTTGTTTTCTCATCCTTACACTTTAGGGGTTGGCCTATGCCCTGAGGCAGAGGGATTTAAAAATACCACCGGTTTCAGGAGTCTGTATTCCTATTTGTACAATAAACAAAAAGAGGTTCTTTCATGTGCTAAAATAATGCTGCTGCATTTAAACACAAAAACACCTCATTCAAGATCAAAAATGTATGACTTTCATGAACTCAAGCAATGCATAAACCACAAGCAAAGCTGTGTGCTGTAAGATAACTGCTTCTTACAAGACTAGAAGGTTTCTCATATTTTATTAAACCGCAATTGAGTACAAGGGACACGACCTTAAACAGGCAAGCTTTCAAAAGGCAACCATGAATGGTGTCCAAAATGACTGCATTTAAAATCCATGAATGAGAAGGTAGAGCAGCCAGAAACCTTGGAGAAACAGCTCCTGTGCTGCCACCATAAGACAGTCCTCCCATTCTTAGAGTGAAGTGAGTAACTATTTAGGCACTACTACAAAAATATAGAGCAAATTAATTCACATCCTCCCAGAATTCAAGAGGGACACTGAACAATTACGAATTTGTCATTCAAGCACTTGAACTGTGACATATTCACAGTTAAGCAGTTTGGGTTATCAGTGAAAACCCAATATCCTGACTCACTGGTTTCTGCATGAAAAACAAGGTCACTGCTCCAACAAAGGGTGCATCAGTCAGGAGAGGCTCCAGGATCACCCGCAGTGTCCCATACAGCTGCAAACAGAACAGGAAAGCTCAGGGTTAAGGTATTCTCATGGTGCAGCTTCAAAACTGTGAGCTTTTCAGTGATGGATATAATTTTAGAAATTCTACTTGAATTTTAATTTTATTTAGAATTTTATAACCAAAAACTTTTCCCCCCAAATCATTGCTATTGATATCAGGCAATGCTTTCTGTGTTTGTGGAGTCTCTCTGAAATCTTGACGTACAATGGAGCCATTTGTCTACTAGCTTTCAACACTCCAAGAACAGGTTCTTGGTTTAATCTACAGCAGTTTGTGAACATCATGGTTCTTCTGAAGTTCTCTACCAACACTCTGAGCTCCTCTGAACTCCAGTGGCAGCTGCTGGCCCACACATACTCAATGCTCCAGCACCGACCCTGTTTAAGAGTCATTCTATGAAGCTTAGAAGTGGCACTTAAGTGCTTTCCATGGAAGGCCTCATTTCTGCAGCCAAGAACAAGGAGGTAAAGCCAATCATTCCAAGCCTGACAGCTGCTAGTTTCCCAGTTGCCATGACCTCCCCACTGGGAGGTGCCACCTCCTCCCCACACAGCCCTGAACAGACAATGTTAGCACTGCACGCACCTGTACACCTTTCACGCCAAGATTAAATTTCGATATGTCCATGTGAATCTCACAGTCCCCTATATAACTGAAAGAAAATTCTCACATTATTCCACGGTTTGCAATAGTCCCATGAGAAATTTGGGGCTGTACAGAGGATAAATGAAATCAGTTTAAGGATTGACAACATGAACCCAGAGGCAGAGATAGATTTTCAAGTGACTGAAAAAGGGAAGCTGAACAAAGGTCAGATCTTTCAGTCAGCTGGGATATTGATGTACCTGTAAAACATTGAAGCAACATCTGTATTTCCAGGTTACTTTTCCATTCTTAAGATTGGGGGTTGGCTGGAGCAAGCATGCTCCAAGAAGGGACCAAGATGCTCACTCACATTTCAAGGTCAGAGCCATTGCCCTCTTGCTCTCTTGTCTGCCAAAAGCCTGATCCCACCCCACACCCAGGTGACTCAGCCCCCAGACTAGTGCAGAGCCATCCTGCCATTACTCATGAGGTTCCCACCTGGCCCACACCCAAAAAGCCCAAAGATCACCCATGCCCACAACCCAAAAACCCATTTGAAGGACAAATTTATCACTAAAAATAACCAGGTTTCCTTGAGGCTGAATTCAAAGACAACTACTTAGATCAGATTTTGGTCAGTTGCCATGGAGAACATCAGGCTTTAAATAAAGCAAATGCTGAATGTGGTTCTTTGGCAATTTGGAAAGCACCTTAGACTTTTATTGAAGTACAAACATCACCTTATGCAGAAACCAATAGCCACACCCCAGGGAGCAGAACCTTGCAGATCTGTTGATGCCTCTGGCAGAAAACAATTGAAGGGAGCTACCAAGTTCCCTTTCAGCCCCTGAGAAATAGCTCTGGCTGCAGACACACAAACACCCTGCAGGTAAAGCCGGGTGTAAAGGTGCTGCAGCAGTGAATGTGCTGTGCTTGCTGCCTGCATGCATAACTTCACTCCATAATCAAAGGAAAAGGGCAGGAGTTCTGCTCTGACCACATGTATATGGGAAAATACTGCTGCAGTTGCCACAAATTCAAACTGTAATTTGCATATAGACAGATTCCCTCCCATCCCAAAAAACCTGCCAAGACTTTGCAACCCTGTGAATTTGCCTCCACTTCTGCAAGCAAAGTTTTTTGTATATTTGTTTACAGATAGTCACCTAGCAGAATTTCAGGAGCTCATACACATAGAATAAAGTCTTTAATGTTGGAGCATTCTCATTTCTTATTTCCAACCTCATAAACCATGCTGAAATTAACACAATCTTTCTTAAAAGCTAGTGACATAATTACACTTATTTTATGTTTGTTAACTTCTACAACTTTGACATTATCTTACAGGTCATTACACTGTGTGCTAATAGAGCATTGTTACAATAAAATTCTAAATGAGGAGCCAAAATTAGTTCCTTAATTTGCAGTAATTAATCCAATAGGATTTAATTCAGCTTTTGCAAGTGTCTAACACAATAAAAGTAAGAGCCACGGTGTTTTATAGCTTTTCTACCTTTCCACACAGTCAAAAACTTTTCCCACTCAGTTCTAGATATCTCTTTTCTCCAGTAAACATGTCAGAGAAGTCTTATCAGAGCCTGAGCCGTAAATTAGCCTTATGTCTGCCTCATACAGGTATCACCCCCTGCCAGGGTGCTTGGTAGGAAGGAAGAATCTTTGGTTCATTAGCTTATTCCTCATTTCCAGTCCCAGCTGCTCGTGCTTCCATCTGCTCCTCTGTACAACACAACCTTCCTGTGCTCTCTGCTGTCCTGTCCCAGAGCACACCTGAGCCAAACTCAAGCCTTGACACTTAAAAGGCTGAGCTCCCCCACCCTGTACAGGACTGTGCTTTACCCACCTGAGGAGAGTGGAAGACTCACCTGTTTCTCTCCTGCATCACCTGTTGCACAAGGTGATGCAGATATGCCTGTGCTGTGGATGAGAACTTTTTCAAGTGCAAATATCTGCGTCTATTCTGTACTTGGCTGGAAAAGCTGGGCCCAGTGTTTGTGGTACAAAGGCAATCCACTGGCTGAAGGCAGGGCTGCCACCAGAGCTGGCAAGTTTAACCAACCTGGATGCCTGCACCTCCCTTCAGAAAAAGCCCAGGCAATTCTGTCTGTACAGTAACTGCCCAGGGGCTCCATCTTCTCATGGTCCCCATGCTGAAAGCCCCCTTTGGCCCAGCCTCAAGGACAAACAGCCCATACAAATAAGGGACCTCTAAGTGCTATTTTTCACACTTCCCAAAGCAAGGGATGCAATTTGTGATATCACAAACTTAACACAGAGGAAAGGAAGCTCCTCTTTACATAGCCCATAGAACTGAACCACAGCATTCAGTGCTGCACCATATTGGTGAGATCAGGAGCACAAGGTGAAACCAAGACCTTCATGGATAACATGTCTAATAAACTACACAAATGGTTCCATACAGGCTACAAAGGAAGGGTAAGAAGGAAAGGTTTATTCTACTCCTACCCTCTTCCTGTATTTTCTCCATGTCACATCAAAGACTCTGGGCTTCAACAACTAGTTGCCTTCTTAATAAAACTGGAGGAAAAAAAATCTGTCCTCCTGTACTATTGAGAGACTGAAAGCAAGAAGCATTTACAGAGCACAGAAACCTAACCCAAGAGTCACTGTGGTGCCAGCACTGCACAGTGCACCCCACAGGCACCCACAGCACTTCACTCTCTTCTCCAGTGCTGTGATGCCAGCACACAGCCCTGTAAACAGAGCAGTCATTTAAACCTCAACAGCACAGTGACCAAGAGGTAAAGGACAGCCTCACACTGGGGTAACCCAACTCCATCTCCTCTAAGCAGCAAAAAACCCTGTTCTATTGGTAATCCAGAAAAACGCAGGTACATAATAGCACCAATCAGAGATTTGCCTCTCCTTGATTCTGATAGCAACACACAATCTCCTGAGGACACTGCAGGATGCACAGCACAACTTAGCTGCAGACATTGATGTTAACATATGAACACAAGTGAAGCTGAGGCCTGAATGCAGCCCTAGAGAAGAGACCCCCACCAGAGAGGCAAGGCAAACCCACACTCCTGTGTGAACACAGAAAATACTGGGGTTATCAGATGGCACCAGCATCACCATGAGGAACAGGAGTGCTTGGCCAGTTTGGAGATGTTGATGGGTCTGCCAGAGGGATGGGAATGCAGAGGTGGGGGAATCCCTCTGCAAAGGTTTGTCAAAAGACAGTGAAAATGAGCATGTGGGAGAAGCAGTTTAGCAGAGAACAGCAGCAACCTTCTGCAAGGCTTAAAAGGCATTAGATCTCCTCTCAATCTCAATATGGAAAGCATGAATGATTTGCCAAAGGCCCTAACACTGACCTGGGTATTACAACAACAGCACTGAAACATCTGGCTGAAAATCAAGCATGTGAATTTACAGGAAGTGAGGATGCTCTGCCAGGGCTTGGGATGCTGCCATGCCACTGCCATGGGGAGCAGCAGGCACAGTTCTGAGGAGCTCTGCTTACAGGTAGTCATTTAGCAGAATTTCAGGAGCACAGACACAACTTCTGTTGCCAAGACAGTCCATTATTTCACAGCTTTTTCCTGGCACTACCATGAAAAGCCAATTTATATTAGGATATTAGGCAGCTCAGTCACCCACTAAACTTACAGAGCTACAGCAGCATGCAAGTGGTAATTCCCCCAGCAATTCCCTTCTCCAGGGCTAAACCAGGAGAGAGTTTAGCTCTGCAATGGCTCTGATGTTAACAAAACATACAAGCTCATTCATAACACCCTGGGAGGTATTAAATGTTTTATCCAATTTTGTTGTTGTTGTTGTTAATAGAGCTAGAGGCAGTATTCTGCTCAGAGAATAGCTGTAATCAAAAAAGCAAATGTGTTGGATGGCACATAGAACAAATGACTAAAACAGAAGATTAATCTAGAGGAAGGAATTAAAAAATAAATAGTGCAAGTAGTTCTGGAAGAACTGGAGAGGTTGGACTAATGAGAAACCACAGTGGGCAAGATAGACCGAGCATCTCCAGCTTTCCTGAGAAGAGGAAACACAGTTTGAAAACTTGGGTTCTCACTGCCACCCATGGCAAAGCCAAGGGACACATCCTTATATCCATGGCAGCCCTGATGGGCCTCAGGAGGTAACACTCAGAGCTGTGCAGGTCATTTCTGGTCTACAGGCTGATGCACATTTCACTCCTGTAACCACTGAGGACACCCAGCTGGGAGACAGATTATCTCACATCATTCTAGGCTAATCTTAGTACACCATGCCCAGTCCAGCATGACACATGCACAGGCAGTAAGTTAAGAACCATCTACATAATCAATGATGCAATATTACCAGATCTGCAGGTCCAGGGTAACTTGTCTTCTATCAATTTCTTTGGTGTAGGCTTTTATTCCATTAATTCTAGGGCACTGAAATAGAGACAAACAAGATACAACATAATCAACATCTATCAAGCTAAGCATAAGTGAAAAGTCCTACTCACTTTGATGAATTTGAGTACAGAAGCATTAATTAAATACTTTGCAAAACTGCATGCAAAATATGAATATATCACTCCAGGTGTTTTTTTCTTTAAAGACAGAATGGCTTTGACAGTTCTCCAACACAGGGCTAGTTACAAGTAGCCCTAGGCCATCCTGCAAGCCTTAGAGAGCACTGAAAACTTCTGTTGCAAGGCTACAACAGAAATAGATAGAGAAATAGTCCTTTTTTTCTATCTCCAGTCCCAGGATGCTGACAGCAAGTGGGAAGAGATGTGTATCTTTCCTGTATGATCCTTCCCTCATGGTGAAGATGCTCAAGTCAACATGAGGAGGGAGCAAAGCTATTACAGAGCTGAACATCTCACTCCCTTTACACGTGAACTTTTCAAAAAAGAGTGAACCACAAGAGGTACAAAAGACTCCCTCTACCTTCTCGCCAAAGTGGATCTTGGTAAAGGTGCATGTTTTCAGATGTACACTCTTTGCTCTGATTTTTGGCTCCAGAACTTCTTTGAATGTTTTTTCCATGATTGTTCCAAAGTATGGCCAAGCCTGTACAAGGACCTAAAGAAGGGTGAAAGCAGAAACACACTGAAGATTCTTTGAGTATGACATCTTTTGCTGAGAAACAAACACACCCATTACAGAACCCTGGCTATTAATATCTATCCTTTTAAAATACCAAGTCAACTTTGGTATTTTTTGGTATTTTTTAAAATACCAAGTCAACTTTGTGCACTTAAGTCATCCTTATGGAAGGATCCATCTCTGTTCCTCAGAAATGGAATTTGTTTCAGGGACTGAAGGGTGAGTTTTCAGTACCATGGAGGTTGCTTCTAACCACAGGAGCCAATGAAGCCCACAGTTAAATTTTTTAAGTACAATAATCCCTAATTACTCTAAAGTGTCACAATGTTCCCTGGAGTTAGGTTGATTTAGAGGACTGAGATGAGCTTTTATATAAAAAAGAAAATTTGCTAAAAAAAAACACCAAAAAACAAGATAGCCACTGGATGCTAATTTGCAAGTTCAGCTGTTTTGCTTTGAGAGGTTGACCACACCTGCTGATGGAAGCATTTGCCTCAGTGCTCTCTGGAACCTTTCTGGTAAGAGGAGATACCACCAAGTTTGCTAAAATAATAATAATAACATACACATGTATGTATCCCTATATATACACAAACAGTAGCATTTTCTTTTAGTCTCAGAATGAAGTGTTGAATTTATCAAACTTGTATCAACCAGGATCACATTGGCTCTCAACCTCAGTGGCAACCCCACACTCAAGTGACTCCATACTTCAGTATAGACACTGATACAATTGAATTATGTTAATTTAGTAGTAATTTGATAACTTTCTCAGACTTGTCCCACAGAGTTTGGATGGGAGCAGGTGGCTTCACCAGCTGGAGTTCAGAGCTCCTCACCTTGTTCAGCCACTCCACTCGTTCAACATCAGGGAAGTGAACCTGGATGCAAAGAAAAATAAAAGTGAGTGCCACGTGCCATCTGTCTGAGCACACTGCAGCACATGCAAAACATAGCATGGAATGTGGAACAATTGTTAGAGTAAGCCGAGATCCCTCTGCCTTCATACATACATCCCTTATAATTTACTACCTCCTTGAAAAATTGTAAAATGCAAAGATGCCAGTAAAGAATAGTAAAAGGCAAAGAACCCACGTGCACTGATGTATCAGGATGCCTCTGGGCACATTTACATGATTAAAGCAAGTGTCACTTCCTGTTCATGATGTAAAGCAGCATTAGATTTCTCATCCTTCTCTTTGTCATGCCTTGGGAAGCCACGAGAGCCTACTTCCCTTTAAGACCATGAACTGTGCAGGACCTGTTTCCTGCACTCACTCTCCTCAACCAGGACACCACACTTGGGGAAACAAAAACCTGCTTGGGAAACTCAATGTCTTCGTTGTGGCAGCCTTTCTCCACTAATACCAACATGGTGCCAATGGCTTCAGGGAAAAGAAGCCCTGTAAGAGTTCAAGTCTGTTAGCATACACTATCATGTGTAACAGTCCAGTGTTTTCACTTCTCAGAGCTTTTTAAGATGGTCAGGAGAAATTAAAATGAAATAGTCACCTATAAATCATGTGTTCAAGTTGGACACACCGAATGCCAACAAGAAGTGTGTATGTCCATTAAAAACCCCACAAGTTCCCTGAAGTGATGACTTTCTTAATCACCACTAGGACAACTGGGCATGAGACCACTCTCAAGTAACTGATCTCTCAGACCCCTGCAAGAAGCTGCTGAGTGAAGAGTTACAATCACCTTACTACAGTCACACATTAAAGCCTATGGATGTGGTATTTGCAGCTGGTGCAACAAGCTGGCAGCAGGTTACTGCAGAAGGGAAGGACATGCAGCAGCTTCTCAGAATGGACATCAGAGCGCCTGAATACAAAGGGAATCTGACTATCATCTAGCCTGATAATAGTAATTGGGTAGGACAATACTTCCTCTTACAAGAGCTGTGAATTACACTTTTCAGGCAAAGCCTCACTGTTCATCAGCTTTCAGAGAGGTGCTCAGAGATGTTTGGATGGAATGGACAGTAGCCTGTTTTTAGTACAGCTTTATAGATGATTGAAGAGCCCATTTTCCCTGCTCAAATCATGCTTCAAATGATCTCATTAAAAAACCCCAAAGTAATATTACCATATTCTTTATAAGAAATTTCTTTTGATGCTCTAAATAGCAACTTTTCCATTAAATAAGACAACAGAAGGTCACTCAAATGTCAGCATGCACAGGTCCATTTGCATGATGAAGGAAGAACTCAGCACCAGAAGGGACAATCAACACAGACAAACTGCTGCTGACATTTTACAGTGAGGCAGATTATGTGAATCAGGGGACCTCCACTTCACCTGCCAGCCTTTCATTTTCCACCTAAAGGTTCTCCATCAGGGCTCATAAATCCTGGCTTCTCAGCTCCAATGTAATTGCCAAGCACCAAAACCCTGCAGCACTTGAGCCACAGCTTGGGATCAGATGTAGGAAGGATAGAGAAGAGATGGAAGCAGCATGGTGAGCTTGTTCTTCAAAACACCTTACAGACAGGAGAGGGATGTGACCCAAAAGAAAGGACAGGACAACAGTTAGGCTACCCCTTCCCAGTGAGAAAGTCACTGCTCATATGTGCAGGGGAGAAATGTGGGGCATTATAAACCATTACATTTGTCTGGGATTATTCCAGAGGAAAGGCTCCTAGAGACTTGAAACAGCACAAAGGGGCATCAGGAAAGAGGCAAAAACTATGAGAATGAGTCTGGACCTAGATCCATCTTTAGAAAAAGTAAAATAGAATTCATTATTTGCACCACAGACACCTGAACCACCAATGGCCCACAGCAAACCTCCAAAACAACTGCAATGAATCACACTGCACTGTGTCACACCTCAGATGCTGTGATAGCAGACATTTATACACAAATGTACAGGTACATTTCCACCCCACCTGGCACCCCCTCATTCAGGTGTCTGCAACCCAGGTCCCACCCAGGCACTTGGTGCCTCTGTTTCCTCTAACAGATGGAAGGAATGGCATTGCTGGAGCTCCAAAGCTGGGACCAGAGACCAGCAGGAGCTCCTGGGCTGACACAAAATGGGCTCTTCTTGCAGAGAACACCACAGAAACTGGCTGATTACATGACTGGTGAAAACCAGCTTTCTGCCCTTTATGACAGGCCACCAAATTTCAGTGGGCTCTCAACACCAAAGTTCAGCTCCACTGAATGGGATGAACTAAATGAGCAGTTCTGTGAGGAAGCAGAGCTTGGTCTCCAGGTGTTGCATTATCCACTGTGTAGTAAGACACAAGCTCTGAGCAACTCCTTTCCTACCCATGGGGTATCCCCATTATACACATGCTAGTTAGCATGTCACATGGCTAGTTCAGCTCAGTGACACCACCAAGCTCTCTTCTTGACCCAACCATTTGCTCCAAGAATTTAATGTATCACCATCTGCAGTTCCATACCTCTGAACCATGTGCTCTGGATTTCAGACTCACTTCTGGCCCTTGCTACTGGTGACAGCCCTGCCAGCAAGGCCTTGCCCCGAGTTTGTCATCAGTACAGCACATGTAGGAGGAGCCCAAAACACTTCCTACTAATCCCAGAACCAGACACCAAGAGCTGCCAAAATTAATACTAACACAGAGTAAGATTTAATCCTGTAGCCTTGGGCAAGTCCCACTATCAGAATCAGTTTTACCCATCTACAAAAGCAGGCATGCTTCTTGCCAAAGTTTAAGGAATGCAGTAAAAATTACTTAGCATTTGAAAAGAGCTTTGAAGATCAAAAACACTAGGTAAGGGGCAATTACTAGCAAGTAAAGAAAATGTGTAAATTCTGCATGACTCCACCTTGCCCTGCAGCAAGCCACAGCAAGGATCACAGCAACAACAAACCCATGTTAGACACAACAGCATCATTCTGTTCAAATACAACACAGCAATCTATCCATCAGGGTTTGGTTTGTTTTTTTTGCTTGTTTGTTTGGTTGTTTTGGGTTTTGTTGGGGATTTTGGTGTTTTGTTTCTTTTTGTAAAAAGTCAGGATTTTTAGCTATTCATACAAGAGGAAAAAAAAAAGTGTAAACAAGGCTTTTGCATGAACAAGGACTTAAAAGGCAACATTAAGGACAGTTCTGTACCTAGCAGTATTTTGCCTGGTAAAAGGAGTTTAACATCAGGAAGAAACACAGCATACTTGGATTCTGCCATGTGCAGCCATATAACCAGTGGCAAAAGCAACACAAGCAGTCACCACAACCCCAGGAGCTGGGATGAAGAGGAAGCCTGCCTGCTTGTACAGAAGTCATGCTAAAGGCTGCAAAGGCTGAAGTCAGAAGGTCTCAACTCTCCAAGCCATGGCTCTGACTGTGCCTGCCATGAGCAGCTTTCCAGCCTGGTTTCCTGAGGAAGCACAGCCTGCCCACGTACACTGTCTAGCACAGGAATGTGTCTATTCCAAACTCACTGGCTGGCTTCAGCCAAGAAACTGGTGCTGCAAAACAACCCTGCAAATACCCCAAAACAGATGGTTGAGTAGATTAGGGAAACCCTCCCAGCATCCCCCATAAAGGAAAGGTTGCATTCTGTATATCTCCTAACAACTGATACCAGGACTGAGCAGAACCTGAGCCAATTTAAAGAAGCCATTTCCTAGGGAGAACAATTTTTAATCAACAGCAAAATCAATGATTGCTCTTAACTCTTCACTGGATGGATTCCCCTCATTTTATAACAGTCCACATGAAGAGACAAAGCTTTATGAATCCCAAGACACTGCCATCATTTCACACGTTCAGAACCTTTCCTAAGATTACAACACTGCAAAGGCAGGCCATGCTCCCCTTGAACTGTATTGCTACTGCCACCTCTGTGTGACAGGAGAGAAGAACTCAGCAGAGAGTTTTTGAGCTCCCAACTGAAGGTCCATGAACACTGAAAGGCAAAAACAAAAGATAAAAAAAGACAACACCACGGAGAATAAACTGAATAGATATCAGGTGAGAATCAGTCTCCAACACAGGCACATGGAAGGAGTAGATCCAACGGAGGATGGGGATGGAAGGAAAATGAAAACTGGGGAGTTAAAAAGCATCAAGGACAAGAGTAGTGTGGAAGCAAACACCCAACTGATGAACAAAAGTTACCAACACAAAAGGAAAGGAAGAGGCAATACATATAAAACTAAAAGCACACTGTGCAGCCCCTTTATCATTAGGTCCTACATCCTGCCTTCCAGGAGTAAGGGCCAAGAATTTACAAATCAGACCTCTGGAAAGAGTCTGACTCTACCATCTCTATGAGCACATGCTGGGCAGTGGGAGATAGAAATGAGAGACCCTTTAAACCTTCCCTTCTCCTGAAGGAGGCTGAACAGCCCCAGCATTGTCAGACCCCAGGTGCTCCAGCCTCTGACCATCCCAGTGGCCTCTGCTGCAGCCTCCCCATTTGCCCAAACCTCTCCTGGGCTGGGGCACAGAGTGCTCTCTGTGCAGCCTTGGGAAGGCTCAGTGCAGGGCAATCAATAATGGACCACCAGCTCCCACACTAATGAAGCCTGAAACTTTCAGCCACAAAACCTAATGAAACTTTTTGCATTTGTGTGCACTGTGGGGGCAAGCCTGATTTTTCAACAGTGACTAAGAGGCTCAATTTCTGGTTACAATGATTCAGGGCACTTGAGGATAAAACACAACACTGCTCTCACAGCATCAGGGCAAGAGCTGACACCATCACATTCATTAATGCCCTGAATTGGTGTTTTTTTTTATGCTCTGTCAATACAAACAAGCAAAAACCTCATTGAGAGACAGACTTCTGTGCCTGGCAGGAGGGAACATGTGCAGGGAGCTGCACCAGCCCTGGCAGGAGACCCTGGCCTCACTCAGAACTGCCAGCTGCCTTCATTTCCCACAGAATTAAGGAGATCCAAGTGCTGTAGGCTATATAAAAGTTTGCCGACTATAAATGCCTCCATGCAACACCCTTTACAAGAAAAGCATTTCCCTACCAGTCACTGACAGATTTTTAAATGCTAAGTAAATTACGATAAAAGAAAAAAGATCTAAACATCTCATCATCCTTTCCATTAGCCAACAACAGCTGCCCAATAAATAACCCAAGACACAGAATAAAATGCAGGCAGAAATTCTACTTTCTTCACTTTAAAATGTAGAGTGACTAGAAACAAATGTGAACAACAAACAGGGGTTGGCCTTCCGTATCGTCCAGAGATGACTCTTAAAATTAAATATTTGGGTTTTTAGCAGGATGAAAATATATTTTTTATATATTTTTGTTTGTTTTCAATTTACAGTAAAGGGGAGAAAACCTAGTGGATGAGAAAGGTATAAAGTATACTAAAATAAGTATCTTCAATAGCAAAATACCTGCAATGCAACAACATGTATTTAAAGGGAGGTGTCTCTGGCGATACATCAGTCTGTTTTACATACCCACTTACAGCAGCACATCTCCTGGGCTAAACAACTCCTAGTTTAATCCTCGCTTTCCTGAGCAAGACTTCAAAATCAAAGACGTTACTGCTCGGCATCGCTGCCACCCGTTCGGCCGCTCGCTCCGGGACACCGCGCTCTCGGAGCCGCCGGTTCCGCGCCCCTCACTCACTCACCCAGGCGGGCAGGTGCCGGGCTGCCAGGCCCCGGCACACCGCCTCCCGCTCATCCTCCAGCAGCGCGAAGGCGGCGGCCAGGCGGTCGCGCTTCCCCCGCCGGTTGAGTCCCCAGCAGAGCCAGAGCGCCAGCGCCAGCAGCAGCCAGCTGCCGCTCAGCCCCAGGTACCCCGCCAGGTACACGGGCCCGAGGCACAGCAGCGCCCGCGCCGCGGAGCAGAGCAGCAGCCGCGGCAGCGCGGCGGGGCGCGGGGCCATGGCTCAGCCCGAGTCGGGTGCCACAGCCCGAGCAGCCGGGGGGCCCCTGCCGAGTGCGCTCCCCCGCGCCACCGCCGCGGCTCCCCCGCCCGCCCGGGCCGGCCCCGCCGCCGCCCCGCCCCGCCGCGCCGCCCTCACGGCCAGCCCGGGGCGCTCGGCTCTCCGGCGGCGCTGCGGACACCCTGTGACCCATGGTCACGGCTGGATGTGCAACCATGCGGGGCAGGCACCACCTGTTGGTTCTGGACACTTCTGTTTGCCTTCTTCCTTGGCACTTTCTTCTCGTCCTCTTGTGATTTTGATGGGGATGTTGTGGGAGTTTAGATTCTGAAATACTGATAATCATGGAATCACTGAATCACAGAACCAAGGTTGGAAGAGACCTTTGAGATCAACAAGTCCAACCATCAATCCAGCACTCTCACTTCCAGACCACAGGGAAAATCTTTTTCTGACACCTAATCTGAATCTCGCCTGCCTCAGCTTGAGGCCATTGTACTCTAGGCTTCCCAATGCAGGCACAGTAGAAGAGACTGATCCCCACCTCACTACAACCTCCTGTCAGGTAATTGTAGAGAGCAATTAGATCCCCCCTAAATCTCCCTCAGCTCCCTCAGCCATTCCTTGTAAGAAATGTTTTCTCAGACACTCTTTGAGATGCTTTCCACCCTAGTGATATTAATTCTATACCTTTATAAACATGCTTTAACAGACAGGCTGTCATTGTCCAGTTCTACACTGTGTTTTCCACTGCAGCTTCCCCTGGATCAGGCAAATGCCACTCTTTGTTCAGTGGATAAGTCTGGAACATCAGTGAATAATGCCAGCTTTTATTGTGGCCCCTTTTTGATACTGGCTGCACAAGATAACAAATGATGAGCCAGATAAAAACCTCCAAGAAAAAGAAGTTGACCATGACTGGGAGAATGAAGTTTGGTCTCTGCTTTGCTATGGAATTAGTATTTAATTATGGGTCAGTCAATAAATCAAACAACACCACAAGTGATCCTCATTTGTTTGTTAATCATTGCACATGACTGCTCTGGGCTAGAAATCAGTTCAGGCATCTGAAAACTTAAATGCCTCCCATTAGAGAAACTCATGCATGAGACATCTATTAACAGGTGCTTTTGAAACAACCCTCCTAATCTTTCCCTACTGTCAAATGAGGATGACTATGCTCTTCTTCCTGGGGATGTTGCAAAGATAAATCATTATAAAACACACTTAAGGAAGTACTTCAGTACACAGTGGGCAGTAAATCTCTAGAACTTGCAAGGCAGATGGTATCAATAGGTTCAGAAAGGGATTAGGTACATTCTCAAGGAAAGGGCCCATCAATGTATTCCCTAACATCATAGACACAGCAGCTGTGGAGGCTGGGGAGAAAGGACTGCAGGAAATGCCTGGGCTCATGACCCCCCTAAACAGCAATACCACTGGGAGCAAGTGGACCAGTGGGCTGACCCCAGAGGGCATTTCTATTTGAAAAGCTGTGAAGGAAAGTCTAGAAATTGGCAGAAGCTGAAGTAGTAACCTGCTCTCTTGATACCATGTATTAAAAACCACACAGTGGTTAGTTTGCACAATTACATGCATCAGGATATAAATCTATATGCACAAAACCACCTGGTTTTGTCCTATGACCAAGGACTGAGGCTGACTTGTTGCTTATTTTTCCCCGCTGTCATCTAAAGCTTTGTCAAACATATTCATTAAGTCATTTCAGCCATATAAAGCTTCACAAAGATAGACTCAGCTCCATCTTTCAGAGAAACAGAAGCTTCCAAGAAAAAGTGGACTCAGGGATTTGAAGACTTGGAAGGTTGCTTTTGCTACTAGGAGAAGCTATAAAAGGTAGATTCAGTATTTTCCTCCTTCATATTATTACTCTTACTGAATTTGAGATATTCAAACTCAGAGAGCCATGCAGTTTAGAAGCATCAACAAGTGTCAGTTTATTGAGCAGAAAAAACAGTGGGGCTGCAGTGGACTACATACCAGCTAATTTAATAAACTAAATTTAATAAATAAATAAATAAACCTATAGTTTTTGGTTTCTTATTCTTCACACAGCTTATCACAACAACCTAGGCTGAGGTTTAAGGACAATAAAAGCACTATCTCTGTACAAATGACAGAGCACTTCCAGTCCTGCAGCACAGCTCACAGCTGCTCTTTAGAAAAGGAGATGCTTCCATGAAAGCAGAAGTCCAAGTTCCTTCCTCCACTGTCCCCTAAGACCCTGAGCTGGCAAACAGCCACACTTTCTCAGGCACTGCTTGCTCCTTTACTGCCAACTCCTTAGCTTGAGAAGTATCTTTCTGTAATTAAAGGGGTTTTAGGAACTTTAAACAACTACACATGTAATATAAAATCTCATCAAACCTTAGCTCACCCTACTTAAAATTTTATAAGAAAAAGAGTAAACTTTTATCACATCAGGTTACACACAGAGGTGCTATCAAACCAAATACTGTGCTGATGAGACCAAGATAAATCAACAGCCTTTGAGACCACTGTTAACTCTGTTTATCATGGATAATACCCTATTAAAAATAACCTTTAAAATACTAATGTGTTTCTCTGATTTTCTGAAGTGCCAGAGGAAATACTGAATCACCAATCGAGAAGACAACTTAAGACTTATCAACTTCCTCCTGGGGAAAGTATGACCTTGACTGCAGCAGTTGCTTCCAAGCACCAGACACTGAGCCAATCTTATTTCCAGTTACAGGGGAACTCCACAAGCTGTTTTACCTAATATTCACTGGACAGTCACTAAGGTAATGACCCAAGGCCATTGTTCTGGCCTGTGACAATCTTCTCTCCTTATTTAAATTGATTAGGCATCACCACTACACTATTATTAACACTATGATAAAAGTGTAGCTGATTATGACAGAGATTTTTACAGAAACTGCAGAGATTTGAAAATGTATTAGTACTAAATTTGCTGTCTCTCAAGCTGGCCATGGTAACTAAGGCAACACATTTTAAAGGTGGGGAGTTATGAAAAACTGCCAACGCTTTTTAACTACAGAGAACATGCAAAGGAACTAACCTGAGGAATCAACTGAAGCACATACCAAGCTATCAAAGGGTTTCTTGAAGATGACTTTGTAACTTTCTTGTGGCTTCAGGGTTTGTGGCCACTGTGAGATTCCCTCTTTAGTGTTAACAAGTGTTAGACGTGCAGTATGTCTTTTTTTGTGCCTCCATAGCAAAATATAAAACACTTACATAAGGCTAAAACCTTACTCTCTGTATTAACAGAATTACTTCTGTATCAAGGCCTGAGCAAAGCTATTGCCCCTTCAGCACTCCCAGTCACTTTACAAAGCATTTTTGTTTAGCTTCCTCTGGTTTCATACTCTCCATCCATGCATTGTTTATCCCTTCAAGCAAAGCTAAATCCAGACCCTGCCCATCATAGGGCAAAGGCCTTGTATCTACTCCTGCTGTCTGTGCTCAGGCAAATTTGGAGTTCAATTCTCCAGGGTAAGCTGGCTGCTTCTGTCCAGAAATTAAATATCAGTTGGGCAACTCAACAGAGTCTAGGTTACATTGTTCAGCCAGGGATATTATTCTGGCTGGACATTTGTAATTTAGTAATGCAAATAATTATGTATATATGTCCTGTTTTGGGAATCATCACATTGTCATAAAAATTACATATCTAGGACTAACTGGTATTATCTATAAATATGGTCTGGACTGGTAAAGTTAATGGATCTCTTCTCCAGTGAAAAATAATAACAAGCAGAAGACTGCAAGTCTTTGATTAGGAATATGTGCAAAACCAGTCTGGGAGTACATGACCTTTGCTTTAAGGGCTCTGCTCCACTGGGCTCACTCCCCATACTGTGCCTCATGTCTGCCCAGCTGATGGCTCCTCACTGCTTTTGTACAGTGAGCAGTAGAGAAGCACTGAAGAGCTGGGACTTTTGGCAAGATAACAAAGCCAGTTACAGCAATTTATTTCACATATTCATTGTTCTTTTACAGCAGAGTCATTAATGCAAGGGCTGTGCAGGGGGATGCAGAGTGTCCACCAAAGGAGGTAAGAGTGTGGTGTGGTGTGGTGTGGTGTGGCCCACAGCCCCTTGCCCAGCCTTGCCCCTCCTGCAATCCCACACTGCCCTGGCACTGGCCAGCAGGGTTAGTGCTGCAGCACATGCTGCAGTTGAGGTGGCCACAATACACAGAGTATCACCACACAGCTTTAGAAGGCTTTAAGCATTCACCCATACAGAGTCACACTACATCAGAAGACTTCAAGCATCTACTCTTTTTGTTTTTCAGTCCAACCTTTTATACCCTCATGTTCATGGATTGCACCTGTGTGGTTGGTCAGTGTCCCTGGGCACTCCATGGCTCACTGCTATCAGTGCTGCTCACCTGCTCCTCACAGCTGTGCCCATTGGGGACGAGGCTTGGCCATCCTGCTCCCAATTACCACAAACTGTGCACCTACAGAGAAAAGCTGTGCCTTGTATATGCACAAATTATGTAACTGCAGAGGTGAGGCACAAAAATGTGAAAGAATACAAACACAAGATATGATGGCATAAGAGAGAGGAAAAAAATAAACTTCTCTTACAGTGAGGAGGGCATTATCCAGTGCTGCTGAGGTGGAGCTGTCACTTCCCTGGCTCTGGGCACCACTCAGATTTTCACACAAGGCACTTGAGCACACCCTGGTGTCATCCTGGAGCCAGCACTGGCCATGGGCAGCTGGTGCCACCTGCTGAACGTGACAACATTTATAATCTGGATTGAGGAAAAATAAATTCCCACCAGAAAAGTCAGATCTTGCTGAAATTAGACTATATTTTACACACAGAAGAATCAGAGGGCTGCAATGAGCCCAAGACAATTCAGTTTATTTTCTAAAGTCTTTGCCAAGTACAACTTCTATTACTGTACTATGTATTTCAATACATATTGAAATGTACTATTACATATAGTACATTACTAATACATAGTACTATTCTGTACTATGTATTTCAATCTCAGAAGCAAAGCCTGTT